TGGAAAATCTAAAACAACTATATAAGAAAGAAAAAGCTTGTGAATTGTGAAAAGTAAAAGTCTTGATTCTTCTGTTAAAGGTTATGCATTTTAATATGATCTTTTGCCTGATTTATGTAAAGCTTTGTATTTTTCATTTTCTCAAGCCTGTCACTGCAGTGATGTATGGTACATTTTAGCATCAAGTTTGCCATAAGCAATAAAGTCAAGGCCCCAAAGAAATTTTAATATATTTCCCCATTTTTAACCTGGAGCTTTCCATTATTCAGTTATTTTGTTTGGAATCCTCTGTTTAGTTGACATAAGTTTTATACTCACATAAATTACTTTACAATTTTGACTTAAAGATAAAATTTAAATATTAATTATTAGATAAGTAAGTTTATGGGTCATTATATGTAAAGTGAAAATCTTAGTGATAACTTAAATTTTACACTAACAACCTGTCTAAAGGTTGTATTTTATATTCTAGTTTGCTTTAAGAGTATTTTTCTCTAACACCAAGATGAAAGAAAAATGAACGAGAAAGTGACTTTCATTAAATGGTATGCAACATGAAAAGGAAGGATATGTCTATAAAATTCTGTAAGAAGAAAAAATGAAGTAAGAAAATAACAATCAATTATAAATTCAAAAATCTTATTCCAGAACTAAGAGCTGTTACAGTGAGTACAAAAATGAAAAAAGGAACAGTCTTCAAGAAATTTACAACCTACTGGAAATAAGTCCTTAAACATTATAAAGCTGATTATTTGTCACAAGAAAGGAAGAAACAAAGTGTTAGGACAGTTCATCTGATGTGGCTAAATGTATGAGTATTTGAGTTCAAGCTTGCATCATGGGCAGGTTGTAAACAGTTAAAGGAAATGAAGAAAGGAAGACAGATAAGATAGAATAAACAAAGGCAAGTGAGGAGAGAAGAAGAAGGCACAGTAAGGTAGTATCTATCCAATGGTTCTGTACTACTGGAGCAAAGGATACATGTAGGGGGTTCCTGAGAGCAAGTCTGAGAAAGGATGTTATGGTACCATGTTATACAATCTTCAATTAATGGCTAAACATCTTGTTTATTTAGAAAACAATGTAGCTGTATTACGGATTTTTGTGCAGAGACACAAAAATCAATATGGCAGTGGAACAGAATATGGGGATAATGAAAGCAGGAGTTCACTTAAAGAGGCTGTATGTTGTCCAAGAGTTTGGGCAAGATATGACTTTAACCAGAGAGATGGGCATGGAGATGGAATGGTGTAAAGCATATATTAGAGAATTAACATGTAAAGAATTAGATAACCAACTGACTGTCATGGTAAAGGAGAGACAGCTGTAATAGATGATGCCAATATTCTCTTCCTGAGTTACTAGGGGGAAAACAGTTGTGTTAAAGAACAAAAACAGGCAGAAAGTAAACTTGGAGGGGAAAATGAGTTCAAGGCTTGTACACAATGAACTTGATACATATTGGCAGTGATGCCCCGCAGCCAGTCAGAAATAAGGATCTAGAGATAAGGAGAAAGCGTAGATATTAGCAGAAAAACCAGAAAGAGAGTGACTTTAGAATCATCTGCATAGAGCTGAAATGTAGATTGTGGGAGAAGACAAAATCCCAGAGACAGAAAATGTGGAAAATGAAAAAAATGGAACCTTAAAAAGAACTTGGGGTTATATACATTTGTTGAAGGTAAGAAGCAGAGAAACTACTGAAGGACATAGAAGAAATCTTGAGTGAGTAGAAGTCAGAATGGTACAGAGACATATAACCATTAAAAGGGAATTTTTCAAGGAGACGGTGACCAATATTATCAAGGAAAAGGATTAACTAAAGATTATGAAGATTGAGAAAAGACCAACAGCAGTTCATCAAAGTAACTGAAGTCAGGCTAGATTGCAAATGTGTTATAGAATGAATTGAAATTAAAGGAATTTAGGGAACAGATACAGATTTTCAGAGTGATATTCACAGTACTACATTCTACATCTCACTATTATTTGGTGTGGAATGTTAATTAATTTACTATGAATTTGAAATAGCAATGTGATTTTGATAAAACATGTGAAAAGGATCTGTATTTTTGTCCTCTAGCATTTATTTATCTTTCTTTTGGAAACCATACTTTGTTCTCCCTCTAGAGCATACCCTTCTCTATTACCTGAGTGAGGTCTGGAGTAAAGATGGTGACTTAGCCCAACCTTTGCCCAAGCCATTGGGATGCAATGGTATTTCTGGGAAAGAAACTCTGTTTCCCTCTGGTTCCACACTAAGAATGTCATATCAAAGCTTGTCATTTGCAAAAAACAAAAAAGGCCTAAAGGAGGCAACATTTAACATAAGTTATAATAATGAAGACAAGTAAAATGTCTCAGCAAAACTAACGAAAGAAATCACAGAACTAAATAAATAAATTGAGAGATACTCCATGATCATGGGTAGAAAGACAATATTGTCAAGATGTCTGTTTTTTCTAATTTGGTCTACAGCTTCAATGCAATCCCAATCAAAATGTCAGCAAGTTACAAACTGATTCTAATATTTATATGGAAAGATTTAGAATAGTCTGAAGACAGAATAGTCAACAAAATATTGAAGGAAAAGAACAGTCAGAAGGCTGACATTACTGACTTCAAGACAACTATAACGCTATAGTAATTAAGACATTGTGGTATTGATAAAAGCATAGACAAATAGAGCAATAGAACAGAATAGAGAGTCCCAGAAACAGATCCACACAAATATCGTTAGCTAATCTTTGGCAAAGGAGCAATGCAAATAATGGGGAAAAGATAGTCTTTTCAACAAATGGTGCCAGAACAGCTATAATTCCACATACAAAAAAATGAATCCAGACACAGTCCTTATACTTCTTTATAAAAATTAACTCAAAATGGAACAGAGACCCAAATGTAAAATGTAAAACTATAAAACTCCTAGAAGATAACATAAAAGAAAATCTAGATGACCTTTGGTTTGATGATGACTTTTAGATACAATATCAAGGGCATGATACATGAAAGAAATAATTAATAATTCATTAAAATTAAAACTTCTGCTCTATAAAGGACAGTGCCAAGAGAATGAGAAGACAGCTACAGACTGGTAGAAAGACATAGCTGATAAAGAACTATCCAAAATATACAACAAGCTCTTAAAACTCAATAATAAGAAAACAAACAACTCAATTAAAAAATGAGCAAAGATCTGAACAGACACTTCACAAAAGAAGACATAGGAATGGGCAAATAAGCATATGAAAAGATGTTCCACATCAAATGCATTCAGGAAAATTCAAATTTAAAACAAGATAACACTGCACACCTATTAGAATGGCACAAGTCCAAAGTATTGACAATACTGAATGCTGATGAAGATGTAGAGCAACAGGAATTCTCATTCATTGCTGGTGGGAATATAAAAATGTACAGCCACACTGGAGGACAGTTTGGTGGTTTCTTACAAAACTAAACATAGTCTTAACCATATGATCTGGCAATCACATTCCTTGGTATTTACCCAAGGGAGTTGAGGACAAAATCCTGCACATGGATATTTATAGCAGCTTTACTTATAATTGCCAAAACTTAGAAGCAACCAAGATGTTCTTTGGTAGGTGAATGAGAAATAAACTGTGGTACATCCAGACAATGGAATATTACTCAACACTTAAAACTCATGAAAAGACATGGAAGAAGTTAAATGCATATTTCTAGGTGAAAAAAGCCAGTGTGAAAAGGCTACACATTGTATGACTGCAATTATATGACATTCTGGAAAAGGTAAAACTATAGAGATCAAAACAAGATCAGTGGTTACCAGGGGTAAGAGGGAAAGAAAGGATGAATAGGCAGAGCACTGAGGATTTCTAGGGCAGTGAAACTATTTTGTATGATGCCATAATGGTGGATATATGTCACTATACATTTGCTCAAACCCACAGAATGTGCAATATTAAGAGTAAGCCATAATGTAAACTATGTACTTTGAGTGATAAAGATGTGTCAATGTGGGTTCATCGACTGTAATAAATGCACCACTCTGGCGCCAGATGTTGACAGTGGGGAAGGCTGTGCATGTGTGAGGGCTGGGGGCATATGGGAACTCTCTGTTCCTTCTGCTCAATTTTTCTGTGAATCCAAAATTGCTGTAAAAAATTAAGTCTATTCAAAATAAAGTTGTCTAAGGTCAGCACAGATAATACCAAAAAAATTTTTTATAAGTTGGCTATTGTAGATAATGCTGCTATAAACATGGAGGTGCATGTATCCCATTGAATTAGTATTTCTGTATTCTTTGGGTAAATACCCAGTAGTGAGATTGCTGGATTGTAGGGTAGTTCTATTTTTAACTTTCTGGGGAACCTCCACCTGTTTTCTAGAGTGGCTGCACCAGTTTGCATTCCCACCAACATTGCAAGACAGTTCCCCTTTCTCCACATCCTTGCCAATATCTGCTGCTTCTTGTGTGATTTCAGTCATTCTGACAGGTATGAGGTGATATCTCATTGTAGTTTGGACTTGCATTTCCCTGATGATGAGTGATGTTGAGCATTTATTCATGTGTCTGTTGGCCATCTGTATGTCTTCTTTGGAGAAACGTCTGTCCATGTCTTCTGCCCATTTTTTAACTGCACTGTTTTTTGGGTGTTGAATTTTATAAGTTCTTTATATATTTCAGATACTAACCCTTTATCAGATATGTCATTTGCAAATATCTTCTCCCATTCCTTAGGTTGCCTTTTAGTTTTGTTGATTGCTCCTTTTGTTGTGTAGAAGCTTTTTATTTTGATGAAGTCCCAGTAGTTTATTTTTGCTCTTGTTTCCCTTGCCTTAGGAGCTTTTATCTAGAAAGAAGCTGCTACGGCCGATGTCAAAGAGGTTACTGCCTGTGTTCTCATCTAGGATTTCTGTGGTTTCAGGTCCCACATTTAGGTCTTTAGTCCATTTTGAATTTATTTTTGTATATGGTGTAAAAACGTGGTCCAGTTTCATTCGTTTGCATGTGGCTGTCTAATATTATTTGTTGAAAAGACCTTTTTCCACTGGATATAAAAATTGTATTTTTCATTGTTATAAAATAATCAGTAAGATTTAATGATATTCTTCCTGATTGCCCAATACTGTTGATAAAATGAATACTATATCGAAACAAAAATGACAAGTCATGTCAGTAACATCCAGTAGAATAAACTTGATTGGCTAAGTAAAGTGACTGCATTTTCATTCTCATTTTCAAATGCTCTGCATCATTATATAATTGGCAGAGAGGAGAGCAGGAAAGAGAGAAGGAGTAAAATAAAACAATGGGATGAAAGCAAATAAATGTTACAGAAATGACAGTTGGAGAGGAAGTAAAAGGGGAAAAAAGGGCACTTACCATGTACAGTCATGGATAGGACATTGTAACTAAAGTCAGAGAAAGTGAACCCTGAGGAAGTCACCAATAATAACGAATGAGGCTTTCACATTTCCCCAATTAATCAATGTTTCTATTAACTTCTTCTGATGAAGATATATATTTCTTTATATAACAAAAAAATGCAGAGAAAGAGCTGGATATAATAGCTGAGAAAATGCTATGTAGTTTTTTTCATATAGAAATGGTAGCTTAGTAAAAAATGTCCAAAAATGTTCTTCAAGAATTATGTATATAATTAGATGTTCTGTAGTTGTCAGGCACTGGGGACACCTAAAAAAAAAAAAAAAAAAAAAAGAAGTAGAAGAAGAAGGAAAATGCACCATATTTATTCAGTGTCAGTGAATATTCCACCTTAAAGAAATAACATTCT